GAATATCTCGTCATATGTCGATTAAGTTGTGTCTATGAATTGAATGGGTGACTATAATACTGTTCAACAGGTGGTTAGGCGATAAGCACAATTCCAACCCGGATAACGGAGCCACATACAGTACTCCATATATGTTTTGACACTAATTACTGCCCGAGTCTCACTAGAACGACCAAACAGGCACAACCAACACAGACAAGTCTCAAACACGTCCAGCGTGCACGCGATGGTACCTCGATCTGGAAGGCCTCCGGGAAACATTTTCGCTAAATTGAGCGGGCAAATTTTCCCGCTAAATTTAGTAAGGAAATTTCCCCGCCAAATTTAGCGGGGAAATTGACGTCACATGACCTCCACACCAATTCAGTTTCCCCGCTAAATTTACCGGGAAAAATGACGCCACGACATCGTGTCACGTCACCCATGAACAAATTTGGCGGCTGGAGGAGAGGATGAGGAAAGGAGGAGGAGGGGCATACCTTCCCCTCCTCCTCCGCCTCAAGGGCTGCGCTCTAATTTCGCAATGCAGAGATTTGTAAGCGTCTTTCATTTTTCGTTTGTCGCTCTAGTGGGGCACGGGTATAATCACCTGATCGAGCAGTATATACAATGTACAACCGCACGAATCAAGAAAAGAAAGAAAACAAAAAGAGAGGAAAGCTTTTTTTAATACGCAAATATAGTTTGTTACATAACCAGGTAGGTCTTTATATGTATACCTTTCGAAACACACTTTACCATTTCCGACTTCTCGTTTCTTTCTCACGTACCACGCGTACAAATGAGGAAAGTAGAGCCCGAATGAGAGACGAGTGCCGGCCAGACGGGTGACCGGTAGGGCCGCTTCCTTCCTGACTCGTTCGTCGGGCGAGACAAAAGCGCGGGGGCTGCATGCGTGATCGTGCTCGCGTATGCACGTAGGCCAGAGCGCGGTCGGTGCAGCAGGGATCTCGCGTTACGTTCGTTGCCTTCCTCGCAACAGTGCGCAGTCGGTGGACGTGGTTGCCCCGACGAGAATTCAGTCAGACTAGTTCCCGTATCGCGTAATCGCAGTAATCGACCTCTGACGAGCTCTGACGGCCGTCCTCGATCGCCGCGGGGTTCTCGTTTGGTTACGCGCGCGTGCGTTTGCGTACGACGATTATGGCGATCGCAGCGGCCGGAAGGTTGTTCGCAAAGCGCGGGAAAGACCCAGCAGCGTATGAGGCGTGCAAACACGAACCGTTGTGTGCGTTGCATTGATTCATGCGTATACTCTGTACACTGCCTAAGTGGTGTTTGGTGTGCCCAGATGGTGTTTCCGCGGGAATCTGTTTTCCTTTCGGAATTGGGGTCGTGTTATTGGAACTGTAGAGCCTAGGAGAAATCTGGAAGTGCGACGTCTTCAGATTCGTATGTTCATGGGGATGAATACAGATAAAAAATGCCTCTTTATTTTTACTTTTTTCGTGTGTGTGTGGAAAGGGCGGGGAGGGAGGTCGCACTTATTGAATGACACCTGTTAGGAAAGTTTGGGTCCCAGACCTAATCTTGGCTGCGTGCCGTGGTCACACATAGGAGAGTGTCCAGTCACAATTGATATGGTCTCTGTTTGAAGACGGCCATTGGATGCGCGTCACGTGGCATAAAAGCTGATCAGAATCTTACGCTGATTCGTCGCTTTCCAACAGCGCTTGAAGTATCACAGCATGAGATAAGGGAACCCCCTAATCTTATAGGTTTGTCCGCCCTCAGTCGGTGCGTTTCCCGGCTAAGTAGATCGGAAAAAGGGGAACCAAGCGTTCATGTCCCCAAAATTCCTAATAGCTTCTAAACAAATTGAAACGGTGACTCCTCAAATAATGCATTCCATGCATTATAGTACCTTGAACATAAAGGTCGCTGGCAATTTCCGCGTCTCTTCTGGAGTAAAAACATACTTCGTTTTCTAGATCAATTAATCCTAGTTGCCAATAACTTGAAGATAAAAAAAGTGCCCCGGCTGAAATGAACTGAGATGAAACCTTCTTCTCACCCTAATAAGACAATCGTGCACACGGAGCTTCTGATCCCGCATCGGGAGCTTGTCCAGCACGTCGTCTTTTTACGAACGCCCGCGGATCGACGTCACAAGCCGTCAAAACGCTTTCGCGTTATCAGCGCGTCCCGTATCTGCATCCCGGTGAGCGTCGGTCCTTATCTCGCCTCTCGCGTAGGGCCTCATCCGACGAGAGGAATGGTCAGCGAACCGACAGTCTTTTCCTCCCCTTGGAGACCGGTCACAAGCACGGAGTTCCACTTTCACTTACCCGTCGCGCGAACCTTAGTTCGAGCGCCGCGTTGTGCACTATAGTGAAACAAAATCCATTGCCCTCCTTATTTCTGATAACACCTTTCGATCTTGTCTCAGTCACCGATTTCGTCTGTCAGCTATTGCCAAAGAAAAAAAAAAAAAAAGAAACACACATAGAAAAACACACAGGAAGATCCGTTGTTGGGTTTTATGGAAGGCGTTAGCATGACCGTTGGAAACTCCACACAAGTCCCCCTTTGGGAAACGCTGAAGCCGACTCCTTCACTTTTCTATTTTGGCTTTCTCTTTTGCTTCCTCTATTTTTTGCTGCCCCTTTTTGGCCTGGTTACGGGGTCAGTGTTAGCGTTTCCGAAAGAAGGACGTCTGTGGCGTTTCCCAAGGGTCATGCTAACGGATTCCCCTAGAATCGACCAATGAATCTTCCTGTAATTTTTTTTCACCCCTTTTCTGTATTCTGCCTGTCAGAGTTCGTAGACGCCCTTGGATACGGTCATCCATACCACTCGTGGAAAGAACCACATCCGTATCACTCGTGAAGGGAACCTCGTCCATCGTTTTGACTAAACACACACATCACAGCTCACGCGCCGTACGGAAACCAAGATCGAGGAACAACTGGTGACGGCAAGGTGGCAACTGAGCACGCCCGCATTCCACCGCGCCGCGGCGCAACACGTCCTACATAACAAAGCCACAGTGCTGAATGAGATGGCGTCATCAAACGAAGCCAGTGCAGGACACAGATTGAACACGACGATTCCGTCAACGTTCGGCACAAACTTGACTCGAAGCCGAGTAGAGATGCAGCACTCGTTTTCAAACTGTGTCCAGCGTTGTCTTTCTCCGATGATGACTTCTCAATAAGCACTACGGCTTTGTTATCTAGGAGGCGTTGCGCGGCGCCTCCTCCTCTCTGGTTCTGCGCCAGCTGTGCGCGTGACTTTGACGAAACCCAAAGGGCCCGTATTGACGAAAACCCGGCGGTGTCTGTCAGTTTGTCAGCGCCGGAAAGAGAGGGAGAGGTTGACACGTGCTGACGTCACTGCTTCACAACAATGAGAGCGTCGCACGCGTCACCCTCTTCCCCTCCTTCTCCCTCTCTTTCCGACACTCACGAATGTAAAACACCGCCAAATTTTCGTATAAAAAAAATATCTTGCTGGTTTACGCGCTGCAAGAGCTCAGAGAAGAACACCTTTGGCAATAAAGTCGTGGTCATGCCGCTAATGCATCGTGCGAAAGACAGTTGCTGACAGTGTCTTATGTGTCTTTTCTTCCTTGTACGACGAATCCTGTCACGTTGATGACACACAAACTCTCTGCAGACACATTTTAAGCATACTTATGCATGAAGTAAACATGTTTCTAACGAGCTTGAGGGATGTTCGCAGATAATTATGTCAACCATGTCCGCAGCGAACATCCTGTCGTTCGTATGGTGTATGGGCAGTGCGACTGCGACTTACCAGTTACTTGTGCAACATGGTTTTCCAGTAAAAAAGATAACGACGCTAATAATTATCTGCCCAAAGGGGAATGTCATGTGAAATAAAACTACCCTAAAAGTCAATCTTCCGCGTTGCAGTGCGCGACTAGAAATCCCTCCAGGGGTAAGGTATTGATCAGTCTGAACTACACACGCATGTGACACATTTCACTAAGTATACTAGTACCCTGCGTATCTATTTAAAACTTATTTCTGAATCATTTCCAATCGTTTTTTTTTTTTTTGTAACCACGTTTATGTCTTTATTTTTCAATTTTACAGAGCGCGCTATGAAAACCTTGCGGGGACAAGGGTCATTGGCATAGTGAGAAACTTGTGGGTGGCTCGAGTTGTGGGACCAATATCAATGCTAAGTGATATTCAGGAATACCATAAGGTAGCTGCAGAGTGGCAGTTTGATAATGATCATTCCCAGTGTTTCTCAAGCTATCAGCAACTCTAAACGCAAGTTTCCCGTGCACAAGCCTTTCGCTCTCGTTTTCTCATAAATAATCGGTTTTACTCCTGAGAAAGCTACAACGTATAGTGTATCTGAATAAAATAAAACTGTGTGACTTGGGCATGCCGATAAGAAGGAACTTCCACGGAGTGCTGTAGTCTTTTTCATGATGTCATTCTGTTTGTTCTTAACTCTCAGTAAGTCTCTCTCTCACTTTCTCTCTGTCTCTCTTTCTTTTTTAAACTCAAATATAAACATCAAGGTCTCGCTGTTACTTTAGTTTCTGCATCATCCTACTTTAAAGTAAGACCTTCGAGTTGTCTCCTCCTCGCTCAAAGTTCTGAGGTACCTGTTAAAACAAAATATTGAAGTTAAATAAGCACGTCCCCGTAGCAAGCCATCTTTGAGAGGACCACAGTAGCAACAGGTCGACTACATTATATTTTGTCCGAGAATAGCGGGAGGGATTTCTAAGCGAGAGGGCTGTCTCAATGCGGAAACACTTCGCGGTCGGATTCATTCGGGAGTATACGAAACGAAGTGTGCTTCCCCGCACGGCCCTGCGTGGAGAGAGCGTCCGGCGGGGAAGCCCACCTCGCGGGGGCCAGCTGAGCGGGGCGACGGGGCAAGGGTTGCTCGGAGCCAATGGTGGCGTCGGCGCGGGGAAGGGTAGGCATCGGCGGCGACTGCACTCGGCGGCGGCGGCGGCGCTCAAAAGGAGGCTGCCGGCGGCCTGTGCAGTGCTCCGCGGTACCGCGATGATCATGCATGCCGCTGCCGGGATGCCGGAACCTGGCCCCGCCGCTGCTGCTCCTACTCGTCGCCCTGACGACGCTCCTGGCGCTCGCGACGCCCGCCGCGTGCTCCGGGCCCCGCGCCGCCGACAGCGCCGAAGATGCCGAAGACAGCGACGCGTCGGCCGAAGTGCAGCGACGACTGCGGCACGCCGGAGGACCGCGTAGCCAGGACCACGTCCTGGCCGAGGACGAGGCCGCGGGCGCCGCCGCGGGCTCCTCGGAGGAGGACGTGGCGCTCGGCGACGAGCCGGCGGACGACGGCGGCGACGCCGTGAAGCACCCGCGGGGCACCAGTCGCTTCCTGCAGCTGTACTGCCGCACCGGATACAACCTGGTCATCCACGCCGGGGGAAAGGTCAACGGGACCCGGGAGGACCGCAACCGATACGGTGGGTGCTGGCCCGCCGGATATCTGCTTTCGTCCGACGGGGTCCGTACCCCTGCTCGGCAGTGCGCGTGTCTGGAGAGTGTTGTCGTGTCTGTCGGCCAACTTTTGGCCGACTTTGCTGCTGGTGCCGGTTCCCGGGAAGAGTTTGCGTGTGGCCGACGCAACGGCTTAATGGTGCGCTGATTTCTCTCCTAAACTTTTGTTTTTCTTTCTATCTTTTTTTTTTTTTTTTGTTCAGTCAGAAATCTGGGGGTATAACATCATCTGTCTCTGTGAGAAATCATCCGTTTAAATAAGATTTGACTTTTTTTCCCTTCCCTCGAAACATTTTTGAACAGCATTTGCATTTATCAGTTCCGGGTTAATTTGCGGTCCAGTGGCCGCGGCGTTCGTTGCCGTAAACAAGCACTCTCACTCGATGTTCTTTATTATTTTTTGATAATTGAGACGCAAATTGTTCCCTCTTTCTTTTATCTTTATTTCGGGTGCCAGAAGAAACAAAACAAAAATGTGGTTGACAGTAAAGACCTTTCCTTGTGGTTGGCCATGAATGACGGGTAGGCGAGATGCCAAGCGGCTAGAGAAAGGGGGAGCGGGTGTGAGTTACAGCGGTTACAGGAGTTACGCTGGGGATGTCAACAGACTCCGTGCGAAATTTAGTACGTTCGTGGTCTCCTGCCAAACTTATTCGACGACGCGTTCTTTAGGACGCCACATTCTCGACACACACACACACACGCACGCACGCACACACAATATAATGCTGTAGGAACGTATAGATTGACTGTGGCTATTCACAATTTAATACGTCTCCGCCCCCCATCACGCAAGGTTTGGCCTCAGGGCAGTGACCCAGGTAATCGAAGTCATTTCCGCACGCAAACCAACGATACAACGAAAAAGTCCCGCATTGATCCGTCGCACGCGCGTACTCGCAAGCAGGCGTTTTCGGACTTACCTCTTCCCTTCCGTGCGCAAGCGGACTTGCCGTGACAGGACACCGGTCGTCGTCGTCATAATCAGCGTATAAGCACGCCGTCCAGAGGTGTCGATATCTCCGACGGCCGACGAACGTTGACCTCCTCGTCACCGTCCCTTCCGCGCTGTGTGCCACGCGTTCGTAAGTCATGCTCGGCCGATGACATGTTCGCTGTGCCACTCGATTACCCACGTCGAGTCCGAGCGGCGGCGGCATGCTATATTCGATGTCTCCGTGAAGTTGTCGTCCCGGAAGCTGATCGATGTTTCTGCTTAGCGCCCGACCGAGCGTGTCGGTACGCGGCTAATTTAACTCGTCTGATCGGTGTCTGTGACGCTCTCGCGCCTTTTGGAGTACGTTGCACGATACATGCGGAGCTTCGTTTAATCCAGACACTGTTTTTGTACGGGCACTTATTAATACCGAGCGCCTAGTGGTGCTCGGTATTGCTGTGCTCGAGCTTTTGGTGCGCGTAATATTCCGAGTGTTCGGTCAAAGTGTCGCGGTGCTTGTCATCCAGGCTGCTTTTGAAAGTATAGCGACGGCGGAAGGCTTATAATTATAGTTTGGCTAAATTAAAGATTAAATAGAACCGCGAGATTTGTTTTTGTCGTCATGTGTTATTGTGAGAGCGTCGGATTTTGACCGGGCGTGACATCAACACTGAAATAATCTTGATATTGATGCCCGACTTTTCGTTTCACTCGTAATTATAAATGTCTTCTCTTTTTTTTTGGTACGTGGTGTTGTATTAGATTATGAAGTTCAGGACGCCCGCTTGGTCTAGCGTTTAAAATTGAGGCGTAATTTTGTAACTGCTCGAGTTACATTTAATTGGTGACGTGCATTTTATGCCTGTTCTTGAATTACTACTGTACTGATGTAGCTAAAATACAAATCATTCAGTGCGTTGTAAGCAACGAAAGGCCTGCATGTATCCTAGGTTGTACTATACTAATTTAGATATGTGCCCCTAATACACGATACGGTGAGTTTCGGCTTTGAAATACAAACGGTTTCATTTTTAATTGTTTTCCATTCAACTCTTCTATATATCCTCATATTTTTTAGTCGAAAGTAGCGTTAAATTATTACAGGCATAGATTGAATCTGAAATGATGTTACAAATTGCCTAAGCTAATGGTAACGCAAGTTTACAGTTCGTTTCAGCTATTTGAAAGAATGAAGATTTGATTCTAAGTGCCACGCTATCAATTGATGTATTTGCGAAATTTCCATCGATTCCCAAGCGCTTCGATTATCTTCACCTAAATTTAGTTGTCCAGCTACCTCATTAAAAAATGGTTTCACTTATCTCTTGACATGTGCGGATCGTTTCTCATGGTGGCCAGAGGCGATTCCCATCTCCGACATGACGGCAGCGACAGTTCTTCAAAGAGTGGATTACTCGCTTTTTAGTCCCATCGGTAGTCGCACGGATTGCGGTCGGCAGGTAACTTGCCCCTCTTCGCTAATCTTATATGCGACTTCTCGGCATCGAGAACATTGGAATGGTTGAACGATTTCGCCAACAACTGAAAGTCTCACACCGTCCTCGGAACTCCATATCTTGTACTGAGGCGCTACCCGTCATTCTTCTAGGAATTCGTTCCGCGCTCAAAATGGACACAGGAGTCTTTGCAGCGGAGCTGGTTTATGGCACTGCACTACGTCTGCCAGGAGAGTTTCTTTATAATGCACCACCGGACTCAGTTACATATACCCCGGATTTCATTAACTAACCGCCTCAAGGAACACATTTCAGACAGCTTCGCTTACGTTGCCCGCGGGAGATAAATTATCAACCTTCTTTTATAAGCCACGAACTTCACACCTGCACTAATGTTTATTTTTTTAATATATATAGATCGACAAAAAATCTTTAACAGCTTTATTAGGGTCCGTTCAAGGTCAGACACAAAAAGCAGAAGTACTTGGTTATTGATATAGGCGGCCGCCACGAAACGGTATCAACAGATCGGCTAACACGTACTAAACCCCCGAATCCCGTCGTCAATGAAAGTAAATTAGCAAGTCTGCTCTCATCGCGTTCGGTGAAAGTTTTCACGTGCATTTGAGATTAAGACCTCATATCTTGTACGGACTGTGTAAATATTATGTACATATATGTCTATCTGTGTTCAGCGACAAAACATTACTTGAAAAACGTAAATATTAATATATATATTTAAGGCTTTTCTATTTCTTTTCCACGAGCTTTATTTCTGCCGAGGGCGAATATCTGTAGCGGCTGAAGATAAAACAAGTGAAGCGAGCTTCGGCACTAGAAATGGATAACCAGCGTTCGCTGTTCAAAACAGCAGTGCTGTCCCCAGAATAAATATGTCCTTATAGAGTTTGAATTACTTCAATATCATGTTTGCTCATTCTTTTTATCGAATTCAAGGTTTCATGTTTGCCAATGCTTTTTATCAAAGTCGAGGTTTCATGTGGGCGTCTCTCAAAGTTTGAGTGTATTCTTTAGATTTTCACTTTCGCGATGAAAAACCAATTTCAAAACGTCTATCGCGGACGCCTTTCATTTGACGCGGGTTTTGGGTGCAAACGAGTGAGTGATGCAACCTTGATGTGATCATACCACAACTTCACCAATGTATCATTACTTCAGCGGTAAAATTACGCATTTAATGTTAGGTAGAATTCAGTCCGCCATGATCGGAAGGGAGACGTAGGTTCCGAGGAAAATGTTTCCTCGTATATACTATGCACGTGTGCTAGAACTAAAGTGCACTAAATTAGGAAGAGTAGGATCTACGAACCGGCATTTTTGCTCACTGCTACCGCAAACATCAGCGCACAAACGCGATGCAAAAGGTTATTGCCGCTTACTTAACATTTTTCGCGCTCGACGATCGTGTTGTCACGAAAAGCCGTGTTTCTATCTCTCTCGACGCTTTGAAATGCGCCATCACAACAACGATGGTGTAACGAATCTTGCGTACAAATCGGCAACAAAGACGCCGCTCTTTTTTTTTTTTTTTTTTTTTTTTCATACGCGCGGTGTTATTGCACTTCATAGAAATGTGTACTCGGTCATTGCATTCTACCCCTTTCTTTTATTCTAGCTACCGTATCCTCTGCTCTAACGGTAAAGAAGGTTTGATTGAAGTGCGGAGCACCAAACTCTGCTCAAAACCACCCCAATTACTTCATCGTTGCAATGCCCTACTACAACGCCCGCGCAACAAAAGGCACGGTTCAACCCCCCCGTCCCCCAAAAAATTCGCTGACGCGCGGCAGACGGGAAAAAGAAAGCAAAAAGCAAAGAAAGACATAAACAAAAAGAAGGATATCTCGCGAGCAGAAATGTATACACTTATCTCAAGCAGTGCAGAACAAATTCCTGATCTGACACTCTTATATGTTACAAAGCATCCGGGCGCCATCTGGAATGGCAGTTCTTCTCGTAAAGTAACTCTTTTTTGTCTATATATATTTATACCATTAGATTCCTAGCTCGTCTCTGGACACAAACCCCCTTCCCCTTTTTTTCTTCTGACGGAACTACGCTATGAAAAAAACTCACCGCGTAAAAATAAAAAAAAGGCAAAAAAGAAAAGAGGACCGTTTGAAGAGGAAAGGCAAAGGAGCCTGGCTCTTAGTAAATAAACCTCGGCGGCAGCCGGAATGTCCGCGAGAGCAGTGTTCTGAGGTGCGGAGATTTCGGTACGCAGCATAAACAAATTCTAAACGGGAGTTGTAAATTTAGACCGACGCTCTTCTCATCTCGATCTTCTGCCCGCTCGGCCGAAAGCTTCCGCGGCTTCTCGTTTCACCTTTTTTAGTTCGTTTCTGCATTGCAGCATCCAGTGCCGTTTGAATAATCACTTCCCCCCTCTCCCCCCCCCCCCCCCCCCCCCCCGAAAAAAAAGGGGAAAAAAAGAAGGAACCGTTTAAAATGGGGCTGTGAAATGAACATACTAACATATCGATTAATGCATTAATATAATACTTAATTCCTTATCCGATTAAGGGTTCAAAAGTCACCCGGTAGTTATTGACATCTAGATAAATCGAAAGCGTGAGTCATTGTATTTTCGCTTCTTGCTCGATGATTGGTTTTTGGGCGTTTTTAATCTGCTCATGCCACAATCCCATTGACTGCGGAACAAGAATGAGACGCCCGGAGTCCCGCCTTTCGTTGACTATCAGAGTAAACATTTGTACAAAGAGAAACACGTAG